CGCGTGACCTTGGGTAAGTTACAAAACGTCTTGGAGGCCGTTTCCCAACTTCGAAAATGGAAATTAAATGAGGTAATATGTGCAAAGTGCATAGCACAGGGCCTTACACATAACAAGCAGGCAGGGATAACTCTTAAAGTTATTAGAATTTGAGAGCTGAAGGAGACTTTATTTATCTAGGCCAAGTTCTAGCTGTGGCTGAAGAAAATGAAATTCTCAGTAAAGTGATGTGCCCAGTTGGGACTAGAAGCCATGGCTCCTGCTTTGCCAACTAGTGCCCTTTCCACCCCCTCCAAACGTCCCCCAGTTTATATGGGGCTCTCAAGCACACAACATCAATCTTGGCTTTGGAAGACACCAGCCCAGGCACCATGACTAATGAGCCCCTTCCTGGATTCTTTCCCGGTCGAACCATGTGAAATTGTTATTATATGACCACTTTTGGCCTACAAAAACAACTATAGTCTGTCCTCCACAGCTGTGTGTTCCACATCCGTTGATTCAACCAACCACAGATCGAAAATACTAAAAAAAAAAAAAAAACTGGAGAAAGACCCTCCAGTTCCACCTATGGACAGGCCTAGCAGCTCTGTCCTGAGAATTCAGCTAGGGGGAGAGGGAGCTGATTCTGGGGACGAGCAGCGTGTTGGGGGTGGCTTTGCCTGTTGTTCCAGGTTTCCATTCTGGATCCATCTGAGGTGGGCGGTGACAGCAGGTCAGGTGTTAGTGTGGTTGGGAGAAGACACCCCTTTTTCCACTCATCCTCCCCACTCCTCCACAGCTGCTGAGGCCGAGGAGGAGAGGTGGGCCGGGAATGGTTTTTTATGGTGGTTGCCCTCTTTTGAGAAGAAGCATCACTGTTCCCTGAGAATATCCCAAGAAAGACTTGCATTCTGAGAATCAAAGAACCCAAAGGAACTGTTTCTGATTTAAGGTGAGAAATAAGATGTCAGGGAGAGTGCCAGACCTGGGAAACAAAAACAGTGTATTAGGCCCTTTCACAACCACACCCACCTCTTGGTAACTCCTTTTAACTGTGTTTAAATTGATAGTGGGTATCTTGAGCATAAATTGAAGAACTGTGAAGCCCAGGAAATGAGGACAGCCTGTGAAGCGTGGTAAGGTGGAGCCATTTGTAAACCTGGGCTTAGGAATCTGGAATTTAAACCAGTGCTCCTGGGGCAGAACCTGGCTGGGACAGTGATCATTGAAAACGTCACTCATAACTTACTGGCTTCTGTGAACTGAATGGGTGATGGCGGGGAGGGGGGCTGAGTAGAACTGAATTACCATGGCTACATGAGACTTTGGTCATCTCATGTCCTAGAAGAAAAAGACAGTGAAAGCAGTGCAAGTCCTCCGGCAAAAAATGAGGGCAAATTCTTAGAAGCCAGAAGCCAGGGCAAACGAGAAATACCCTTCTAACTTCATAGTAACCATCCCCATCTAGACCTACCCTAATGCTGTAAGCCATGGTAAGAGACAAAGGGGTTCAGGGGCTGAGTCCTTCTCCATTCCTTGCCTCTGAAATCGATATCCTTTCTACTCTCAGCTACACAGCAGGCTGTCAGAGAAACAGAGCCTACTTTGAGGCATGGGGGTGGTTCTGATCACTATTAGGTTGAACCATGTGAAACTGTTATTATATGACCACTTTTGGCCTACAACAACTACAGTCCACCCTCCATGGCCATGGGTTCCACATCCATTGATTCAACCAACTGCAGATCAAAAATATTAAAAAAAAAAAAAAAAAAAAAGATGGTTGCGTCTGTACTGATCTTGAACAGACTCTTTTTCTTGTCATTATTTCCTAAACATACAGTAGAACAACTATTTACACTTTGTTGGGTATTACAAGTAATCTAGAGGCAATTTAAAGTATGCCAAAAGATGTTTGAAGTGTAGATGCAATTACTTTGCCATTTTATGTAAGGAACTTGAGCATCTGTGTATTTTGTTACCCACAAGGTGTCCTGGGACCAATCCTCCACGGATACTGAGGGATGACTGTATTTCTCATCAACTTAACATTATTATTTAAAACCATAATAATAGCTACCATTTATTGAGCAACTAGATTGTGCCAGAAACTTAATGCTTATCGTGCTGTTTATTCCTCCCCACAACCCATTAAGGTGAATGTTATTGTCCTGATTTTTCAGATGAAGGACCTGAGTTAAAAGATTAGATAACTTGCCCAAGACCACCCAGTTATAGCAAGTGGTAGAGCCTTGGTTCATTTTCTAGGCTTCATTTGCTTATTCTACAGTGTAGGAGTTAAAAATACTCTGGACTCTGACATGCAAGGATTTGAATCTCAGACACACTGATAACTATCTGTATGACCCCAAGTAGGTTTTTAAACACTCTAATCATCAGTTTTATTAGGGCTAAACTACAGTAACGATTAAAAGGTATGCCATCGCTTTACGGTTGAGGACTAAATAATGCCTGTTAAACACTGAGTCATGGCACCTGGAACAAGGTAAGTAATGCTTAAATGGCAGCTATTGTCATAATTCCTTTTTCCTTATGAGCATATCATAGAAAGGCTTCTTGCTCCTGCTGATCTTTTCTTTACCCTTTTTTGGAGTGAAGCCTTTTGACTGTTGCTTCTTCCAGACTATCTCCCCTCCTCTTGTGTTTGAGTGCATCCTGGGGAGCCGTGGCAAGTGGAGAGTCTGTGGGAAAACAACCATTGGGCCTCTAGCCCTGGGTGGGGGAGGCTGACTTGCCGAGCATCCTCACCTAATCTCAGCCATGAGCTCTGGCACAGTCCACTAGGGAGAGGGCTGTCCTGCTGAGCCTTCCACACCCTCTCTCCAGGGACCCTGCACTCGGAAGGGGCCCTTCTGAGCTGGAGGCACTGTCTGAGAGCAGGGGAATGGGCAGCCACATCCAGGAGTGCCTGCTACTGTTTTCCTTGTTCCTCCAAATCCCCCCTCCAGTCAGCTCTGCAACTCCCCTAACGGGGCTGCTGGTGATGGGGCCTTAGCTCACTCTGGGGCATCTGGCTTTCTTGTATCTCATTACAATGTGCACTTCTCTTTCCCGAGTGGGGCACACAACTGTGTCCCCTGGCCCTGAACCTTCCTCCCTGCCTGCTGCCCAGGAGGGGACACCCAACACCCAAGCGCGGCCCTGCCTCAGCCCTTCTCCACGCTGCAGCTCCCCCTCTGCAGCTCCCACCTCGCGTCGCCGTCGTCTCAATCTCCCAGGACTCTATTCCTACCCAGCCCGGCCCAGTCACCTCACAAAACCCCCCAACCCCACTGGGGGAGGCTGACTTGCCGAGCATCCTCACCTAATCTCAGCCATGAGCTCTGGCACAGTCCACTAGGGAGAGGGCTGTCCTGCTGAGCCTTCCACACCCTCTCTACAGGGACCCTGCACTCGGAAGGGGCCCTTCTGAGCTGGAGGCACTGTCTGAGAGCAGGGAAACGGGCAGCCACATCCAGGAGTGCCTGCTACTGTTTTCCTTGTTCCTCCAAATCCCGCCTCCAGTCAGCTCTGCAACTCCCCTAACGGGGCTGCTGGTGATGGGGCCTTAGCTCACTCTGGGGTATCTGGCTTTCTTGTATCTCATTACAATGTGCACTTCTCTTTCCCGAGTGGGGCACACAACTGTGTCCCCTGGCCCTGAACCTTCCTCCCTGCCTGCTGCCCAGGAGGGGACACCCAACACCCAAGCGCGGCCCTGCCTCAGCCCTTCTCCACGCTGCAGCTCCCCCTCTGCACCTCCCACCTCGCGTCGCCGTCGTCTCAATCTCCCAGGACTCTATTCCTACCCAGCCCGGCCCAGTCACCTCACAAAACCCCCCAACCCCACTCCTAGGAGAGCGCCTGCTCCAAGCCAGACGACGACATTCTAGACATCCCGCTGGACGATCCCGGTGCCAACGCCGCGGCTGCCAAAATCCAGGCGAGTTTCCGGGGCCACATGGCGCGGAAGAAGATAAAGAGCGGAGAGCGCGGCCGGAAGGGCGCGGGCCCGGGCGGGCCGGGCGGAGCTGCGGGAGCACGGGGAGGCGCGG